ATGTCCAATATAAGTGAAAACTCTTCTAGGGTAGGAGCCAACTGATAATCCCTAAACGTGAAACACCTCATGGCAGGATCATAGAATTGTAGCAAGGTGTGAATAGCAATCCTCTCATATTTTGTGATGGTATGAAGCATGTTAAGAATCCTCCCATAATCTTCTTTGAAGGTCTCTAAATTCTTTTGCATAGTTGTGGAAACCAGGCTGCGAATGGAACTCAAATCTGGAGATTGAAACTTGTAGCTGACGGTATACCTCTGACCAGTGTCCATCTATGACGAGTGTGTCAACTAGAATCAAGGATAAGATACAAATTCCCTAAAAATAAACAAGCATGAATGTTAAGATGATGATACGATGCAAATGCAGAGACACGGGATCAAGGTTGCCACGTATTTTGAATAATTGTTATGTTGTTGACGGTTAGTTCTTATTTAAGAAATCCAGTATACCAAGAACACCAACATATTAAGAATACCAATCTGATGAGAAATCCAGAATACCAAACCACTTATGTAACCAGATTCATAAGCTCATATGAATAAGAAAACCAGAAAATCAGGTAAGTTGGAAGTCTTGGTTTCCTGCATAAACCCATCCCCTCTTGCATGCTGGTTTTAGTCTTGGACGGCATCCTAGCGGGTCTTCAGTATCATGGGATCTCAGGTCGAGAAATGATGACACGTTCACCATTTCTGGTTTGGCATCATCATCAATCAAGGAGGCCTCAACGGATTTCCCATGAACGGTCTCCAGAGTCATAAGCTCCCAAAGGAACACCCTGGCTACTGTATAAACATACAGAACAAAGCATCTCCCAAAACCTCGTCTGAATGCAAACTCAAGTCAACAATACGTGACAAACACCACACAAGTCAACAAGAGCCCACTCTAATCCTATGTGTGCACTCAAGCCTGGGTAATGGGCTTATCTCTCATGGAACTTCCCCCCAACAACACAATAGCAGGAGAATAATATGACAACAGTAATCAAATAAATGGAAGAGAATGTGATAAAAGCGGTAAATAAAACAAATAAAAGCATAAAGAAAAACACCCAACAAAAATAACACATACAAGCGCTAGGATTGACTCTCATTTTCAAGCCTTTCCCCAACAGATTCGCCAGCTGACGCAACGCGAAAAACAACCGGCGGAAAAACAGAGTCCTCATCAAACTTTATTCATCCCAATGGGTCCAGGAAAACATCGATAAAACCTCAAAAGGGAGAAGACATGTCTTGCAACTAAATCCTGGGTTCGGGAGTCAATTACGCGAGAGGAAGGTATTAGCACCCCTCACGTCCGTTGTACTCAACGGGATCCACGTTTGTTATCTAATCAAAGGGTGTATTAATCTAAAGCCTACTGCTAAACGACAACTAACAAAAGGTGACTCAATAGGATCTCGCAATCCTATGCCTATGTATTCCCTCGTGCAATGGCAAAGTCATAGTCAACGTAGTTCGGAGGAGTACTGGTGATTGGGGGGATTTTGCTCGCCAAGACTTCGCTGTCTTGTGCCTACGTATCCTTATTCGGACGAGAATGAGGATGTCAAAGCGCTCGTAGTTCGACCTACCACTGGTTGGTTGGTTTCTTTTATGAGCGATGTTAAGCTCACGCTCCAGCAGTTAGGGTCGATGCCTGTTTGGGTAGAACGAAGGTAACATGCCCTTTCTGAAAAAAGTTTGAACAGAGATTCCAAAGGATAAAATGGTTTGAATTTGTTTAAGGATTTTAGAGAAGTGGATTGACTTTGTTTATGACGTGTATCGCACTAAAGTCTATGACATAGGAGCAGATACTTCTCGCTAACGATCCAAACGGCTCGCACTCAAAGTACCCTAAGATGAGGTTAGAAATACATCTGCTCATCTTTCCCTATATGCTTAAGGCTCGTGATGCACTTTACACATCGTCTTTATTAAGTGTTTTATTTTGTTTTGAGATGAGAAGAAAGAGGACTCAAAGGTTGAAAAGAAAACCACTAAGGGAAACTAACTCCTAATGTTGTCATGTATAATGATCCTAAAGTTGGGATAGGAATGGAACACTACCTAAAGTTAGCATGCAAAGAGATGGACCTAAGGTTAAGGTTTACAAAGGGACTACCCTAATTGTTATCATGCAAAGACTAACCTAAAATTAGGCCGAAGAGGAATAAGATGCATACACAATATTATCATCACACAACAAATGAATCAAAATATAAATTGAAAAGAAAAGGGCACGGATACCACAACAAATTTAATCGAACATAATCATAACAAAAAAACAAATTGCTATCGCGTAAGCAGTCTTCGCAAGTCGAATCAATAAGCAACAACATAATGAAATCAAAATAAGACACAAAGTTGCAAATCGAAACACGAATTGGTCGGCGCATAGCAAGCGGATTGCCGCTAGGCCAAACCATCGGACGTGTGCATAACATCGAAATGCACTGATAATCAATTTAAAAGAGTAAAATACATAAACCGATAAAATTAATCAATAGCTTGTTACACTTAACGTGATCATCGCAAGAGGGACTAAAAATTGTGCGGAAAAAACAAAAGGAATTTTAAAAGTGCTAATAAAATAAATCAACAATATTGCTAACGCAAAAATGCGATCATCGCAATTGGATCGAACTAACACAAATGTCACGCATCATGCACACCAATATGCATACAGCGTATCAACACGATTTGATCCGAAAAATTTTAAAAATTAAAATAAAATACAAAAAATTGATTATATATATATATATATATATATATATATATATATATATATATATATATATATATATATATATATATATATATATATATATATATATATATATATATATATATATATATATATATATATATATATATATATATATATATATATATATATATATATATATATATATATATATATATATATATATATATATATATATTAAAATCAAACGTTATATTAATATACATATATATTGACAATCAACAACACCTTATTATATATGCATTGAAACAACATGTCATTATATATATTATATACTAAAACCAACTTCTTATGTACTATAAATGTATAATGTCAGTAAAACAATAAGATATTGAAATCAATAGAATCATATAAAATGAAACCTTTTATTACTACTTACTATTCAAAGATATTAAAAAAACATATCTCAATGAACCGCCGCGTGATTTCTCCTCCTCAGTTTTTTCGGTTTCTTTTTTTTTTTCTTTCGGTCCCCCTTTCACTCAACAATATCAATAGTATATAAGGAACAAATTAGAGTTAACTCTAAATTATCAATAATATCTCTAATATTTAATTTTAAAGCCCAAAATAAACTAATATTAATTATAACTAAATAAAATTAAACTATTAAAATAATTAAAATAAAATTAAAATTAAACTAATAATTCTATTTACTTATTCTAAGTATTTAGACAAAATATAAAATAACCGGAACTCAAATAAATAAAAGGCAGACGTCCAAAATACAGCGTTTGGTCCGATTTTAAAATAATTTTTGATCCGTTAAAACGCTCAAACTGATCAAAATGCGACGAAAAATAGTCAAAAAGTTAAAACGAACACGTCGAATTAAACTAAGCAAAACGTAGATCAATATAATTGGCATCTGCAAGCTCGATTTATAAATTTTCTATTCACCAATTTTACGCATAATTGAGATTCAGTTTGACCGGTTTGTCTGTAAATCCGAGAAATTATTCTGGTGACATTTTAGTCACTATGCAAGATAAAATGTGTGTTATGCAAAGTAAAAATAAAGTCGGATGAATGAAAAATTTTAAAATTAAAATGCCTGAACAAAATCATGACTGAATAACCACACTTGACTTGAAATCAAAATTTCTGCCCTTGAGTGCACACTGATCCTCTTGAGAAATCATGACGCATACGACCTTGATCGAAATTTCTGCCCTTGAGTGCACACTGATCCTCTTGAGAAATCATGACGCATACGACCTTGATATCTGATGAGCATCGGTAAAGAAGATAATCATGATGTTGGAAACTCAGTCTTTATTCCAACTCGAGTGCAATAATCAAATAAATCACCTCTAAATAGGGAAAACTCGAATCACAGAAAAATGCCTTGATCCCGTATCTTAGGAGCTCAATCCAAATGAAAGGATGCAAAATTATGATCTAATAAAAACACAAATAAAAAAGAAATACAAGCCAATTAAAGTTAGGAGAAGAGAGGGCAAATTTTAAAGTACAACACCACCTTATAAAAATGAATAGATATGATGTCATAGATTTGAACTCACGTCATTGCGTTCAATGTCTCTATACAACTACAAACTGAACTATCTTAATGAAACAAACATTGGTCATTTTGAAAAGGAAAAAAAAAACACAATTTCAACTTCAGTAAAATTTATTTTTAGAGTAAAACCCTTAGATTCTTCACGTTTGTCATTCTTTTATATAAATCAAATATTGTTTACACGCAATTGTAAAGATTACTTCCTTAACTTTAGAGAGACATAATGGACAGCCCAGATTAAAAAACAAGGCTGAAATCAAACCAAAAAACTTCTGATTAAACTCAAAAATATCTCCATTATCTCATCCAAATATTATAGGTTAAAATATATGAAATCCTAAAACCAAAAGAATGTACATATCCAGCCAACCAATCTGCAAGTATGCTACCATGTTTCCCTCCCTAAAGGCATAGGATATGCAAACATCAAATATTTAGTCATTAAAGAAGCAAACCTAGAACACACGCACACGCACTTCTAAAGTATATCTTCATTAACAACCGCCAATACAAAATCGATTTTTAACATCAATATGTCATAATACATTTTAACAACAAACATACCCTTAACACACAGGTATGCACCTCATTCAAATGAGTGCCTAAGATTTTCTATTTCTGTGAGCAGCTGAATTCTAAGTTCTAGACCTAATAATGGTACAAGGTCAAACCACAATTTACCACAAAAAAGGAGGCGCTGCCAACAACACATGGGTTACCAAAGATATGCCAAGTCATCATCGTGTTCGAGGCCTAAATAGTAGACACCAATCAATGTAAGCCTGCAAAATCAAAGTTGGTAGAAAAAATAAGACAGTTAGTATAAGGTGGACAGTCCTCCTGCTTGAGTAAACAATTTAATTTTTCAAGTGCTAATAGCATAAGCACTTAAACTTGCTTATGCATAGGTTATTGCTATTTGTAACAACAAAAGATAAAATAAAATCTATATGTTTTCATATAAATTATAAGTTGTTTCCATAAGCACTTATAAACAATCTCACAAGGTCTCACAAGTGTTTCGGCCATTAAATAAGCTCAAATAAATCAAACCAAAGGCTAATGTTGATGCAGCCAATTAATTAGATTTAGAAACCCAGTAGATTTAGAAACCCAGTAAATAAATCAAACCAAAGGCTAAATGTTGATGCAGCCAATTAATTAGATTTAAAAACCCAGTAGATTTAGTAACCCAGTAAATAAATCAAACCAAAGGCTAATGTTGATGCAGCCAATTAATTAGATTTAGAAACCCAGTAGATTTAGAAACCCAGTAAATAAATCAAACCAAAGGCTAATGTTGATGCAGCCAATTAATTAGATTTAAAAACCCAGTAGATTTAGAAACCCAGTAAATAAATCAAACCAAAGGCTAATGTTGATGCAGCCAATTAATTAGATTTAGAAACCCAGTAGATTTAGAAACCCAGTAAATAAATCAAACCAAAGGCTAATGTTGATGCAGCCAATTAATTAGATTTAGAAACCCAGTAGATTTAGAAACCCAGTAAATAAATCAAACCAAAGGCTAATGTTGATGCAGCCAATTAATTAGATTTAGAAACCCAGTAGAAAACCCAGAAGCAAGAATCCTAATAGGAGGTATCAGTAAGAAAACAAAATGGATAGTGTTGAGCATTTTTTTAATGGTAACAAACCTAAAGATGGTGACAATGAGGACTATTAAGTACAAAGCAAGTTTTGCTATCCGGACTTTCTTCTCTGCATTGAGTACTGTAAACACTTCAGTAACATCAATAAGATGCTCTCTTTTCACATACCTGAACCATTGAAATGAGGTAATTCATAACAAAGAACATACAAGTTCAAAAGATAAATCATATGTGGAGGTACAAAATAATATAAAATGATTAAGTAACTCAATTTTTCATTATTGCAATTTTCTTTCTAATTTTCATCTCACCAAATTAAATCATCAGCATTGGTTTAGATGTGTAGCTGGAAAATATTTCAACTTGTAAGTAACTGATAGGAATGGATTGGATCCCACAAATGATGATGGGAATGTGTTAGTTAATAGAGATATTATTGGACCTAAACAATGGAGGGTATATGTGAGAAAGAATAGGAAACTCCACAAATAAATAGGAGTTAGTTTAGGTATTATTCTCCATATAAATAGGAGTTAGTTTAGGAATTATTCTCCATATAAAAAGGAGTGTATGGGGCAGTAGTTAGGCATGGATTGATTTTCTGTTTTTTGATATTAGAATTTGGACAGTGAGAGAATTGTTTCTCTGACTGAGGAGCAGTAGCTCTGGAATTTATTTTACTTTCACATTCATTAATAAAATACTTTTCTTTATCATATTATATCATACCTCTGTTCTATCAATTGGTCCGACCTACCATTGTTCATGCCCAAAGCTCCTAAGATGGCTGACCGTGTTTCTGCAGTGGAAGAAAGGTTGGAAGGTGTTGAGGCTAGCATTGCTGCGTTACGAGAGTTCATTGGTGCTGAGATTCAACGTGCAATGGCTCATCGTGAAGTGCCGCAGCCAAGCAGTGCGACAGTTTCCTCACCGCTGGATGAGTTTCGTTTATCTGCGAAGAAGGTGGAGTTGCCGGCATTTACCGGTGACGATCCGGTTGCATGGATCACTCGGGCAGAGACATACTTTGAGGTACAACGAATTTCGCAGGATGTTCGTATTCGGTTGACCAAATTGAGTATGGAAGACCCTACTATCCATTGGTTTAACCTATGGCATGATTCAACAGAGGAATTGTCATGGGAGAACCTCCGTGAGGCGATGATGGTTCGATTTGGAGGTGGGCGTTTGAAGAATCCGTTTGAGGAATTAAAGGACCTAAAACAATCGGGATCAGTAGAGGAATATATTGCTGAATTCGAACTGTATTCTTCACAGTGTGGTCGTTTGCCAGAACAACAGTTTCTAGGTTACTTCATTGGTGGTTTACGTCATGATATTCATTCTCGTGTGCGTACCTTCAAGCCTCGCAACCGTTACCTAGCAATGCAATTGGCTCGTGATGTTGAAAGAGAATTTGCAGTGGCTTCTGGACAGGGTTCTGGAGCACGTTACAAACCGGGTCATGGTTCTTGGACAAAATCTCAAAAGCCTACTTGGGCTTTTCGCGAAGGGGAAGGGAACGGATCTGCAACTCAGACCCAGCCTAATAATTCTTTGGGCAAAACGTGGACTGGTTCGGATTCTGGATCTCAAACACGTCCTACCAATTCTACAGCATCTTCTCGCCCAAATTTAGTTGACAATTCACGCCGTCAATCTCGTGGTGTTCGCCATCTACCAAGTGCAGAGGTTAATGAGCGTCGTGCGAAAGGACTCTGTTTTCGTTGCAACGAACGATGGGATCCTCTCCATCAATGTGCAACAAGACAGTTACGATTGATTATCTTGGGGGATGACGAAATTGTTAACGATACAGGAGAGATTGTGGTGTTGGAGGCTGCGACGGAAGAAGAGCTCACACCAGAGGAATTAGAATGTAAAACCATGGGGCTGTTTGGTGTATCCACTAATCCAAATCAAGTCCGGACGATGAAATTGGAGGGATGTTTACAAGGTGCATTAATTCTGGTACTTATTGACAGTGGAGCCACACATAATTTCATATCACCTAAGGTGGTTGAAGCCCTGGGATTGTCTATGGTGTCTTCTAATCCTTTGGGTGTTAAGTTAGGAGATGGTCATCGTGTCCTAACTAGGGGTAGATGTATAGAAATATGCTTTTTCTATATTGTTTTTTCTGTAACATAGTACATGAGTATTCATAGAATATAAATTACACTAAGAAATAGGGGTAATTATTCTCCCTATAAATGCTAATCCTAAATAAGGTAAGAATATAATAATACAATTAATTTCTATTTAATCACAATTTGAATCCAGCCATAATGAGCTGTATGACAGAATCTGTTTTGATTTTGTGCTAATATTCAACACTCCCCCTCAAGCTGGCATGAATATATCGTTCATAGCAAGCTTGCACACCATGTTATCAAACAGTCTCTTTGGAAGACTCTTTGTGAGAACATCTGCTACTTGACTTTTGGTAGGTATGTAGGACATACAAATCTCACCGCTGTCAATTTTTTCTTTGATGAAATGCTTGTCCACTTCAACATGCTTCGTCCTGTCATGTAGGACAGGATTATGGGCAATAGAAATAGCAGCCTTATTATCGCAGTAAACTTTAATTGGAGTTGGGCCAAAGAACTTCAATTCTTCCATGAACTTTTTGATCCATAATACTTCACAAAAACCATGGGCCACAGATCGGAATTCAGCTTCTGCACTGCTCCTGGCTACAACATTTTGTTTTTTGCTCCTCCATGTAACTAGATTTCCACCTACAAAAGTACAATATCCTGAGGTAGACCTTCTATCATTTATATTACCTGCCCAATCAGCATCTGTATAGGCTTCAACCTGTAGATGTCCTCTATTTCTGAATATCAGCCCCTTTCCCGGAGTACCTTTCAAATATCTTAATATTCTGAAAATAGCTTCAAAGTGGGCTGCACCTGGTGCATGCATAAATTGGCTTATTACACTCACTGCAAAGGCTATATCTGGCCTTGTATGTGACAAATAAATTAGTCTTCCAGCCAATCGTTGATAACGTTCTTTATCTACTATTTCATCTTCAGCAACTGACTTTAGTTTCACATTGGGATCCATTGGTGTTTCTACTGCTTTAGACCCTGTCATCCCTGTTTCTGCAAGTAAATCGGGTATGTACTTGCGCTGGTTGAGAAAAATACCTTCTTTAGATCTTGCGAACTCCATCCCAAGAAAGTATTTTAACTTTCCAAGATCCTTGATATCGAACTCAGCCTCAAGTCTTCTCTTCAGATCACTAATTGCTTTGACGTCATCTCCTGTAATAATAATGTCATCAACATACACTATTAAGATAGCAATCTTACCTTCAGATGAGTGTTTAAAGAACATAGTGTGATCTGCTTGACTTTGGGTGAAACCGTGTCTCTTAACAACACTTCCAAATCTCTCAAACCAGGCCCTTGGCGATTGTTTCAATCCATATAGGGATTTTCTCAATCTGCATACTTTGTTTCTTCCAAGATTTTTTTCAAATCCAGGAGGTAAACTCATATATACTTCTTCATGTAATTCACCATTCAAGAAGGCATTTTTAACATCATATTGATATAGTGTCCAGTTGAAATTTACTGCAAGAGAAAGAAGAATTCTGATAGAATTGATCTTAGCAACTGGGGCAAAAGTCTCTTGGTAATCAATACCATGAGTTTGAGTAAATCCTTTTGCTACTAATCTCGCTTTGTATCTTTCCACACTTCCATCAGCCTTGCATTTCACTGTAAAGACCCACTTACACCCTACTGCCTTTTTATCTTGTGGTAGATCAGTGATACTACAAGTGTTATTTTTGTTTAGAGCATCCATCTCTTCTTTCACTGCTAATTTCCAATTCGGATCACTTAATGCTTCCTGAATAGTTCTGGGCACAAACAAATTAGAAATCCTAGACACATATGCCTTATGGGTGTGTGATAGTTTGTCATATGACAAGTAATTAGACATAGGATGTTTAGTGCACATACGAGAACCTTTCCTCTCAGCAATTGGGACATCGAGGTCAGGAATATTTTTTCTCACAGAAATTGGAAGATTAATATCAGGAAAAGACAAATCAGATAAATCATTGGATGAGTAAGAAGGATTACCAGATGAAGAACTAGAAGACAGATTATCTGTAGGACCTTCACTTGGTAAATCAGATTGGATTTCTACTGGAGAGACAATAGGGTTTGCACCACCTTTGTGGAATTTTTTTCGAACATACACTTTAAGTTCAGGATTATCATCCTTAATCAGTGTTTCTCCCCCTGTTTCAGATTCTATTATCTTAGCATTTGGGTGATTTGTAGTCACAATATCATCTAGAGCAGGCAAAGTTTCCCAAAAATTATCTTCTTTATTATTACATTGACTCTCCCCCTGAAGAGAATTTTTAAAAAAAGGTTGATTTTCAACAAAGTGAACATCCATGCTTTCAAAAAATTTCTTTGTAACTGGGTTAAAACATTTGTATCCCTTTTTATTGGAAGCATAGCCAAGAAAAACACATTTTTCGGCTTTAGGATCCAACTTAGAACGAAAAACATTGGGGATGTAAACATAACAAAGACAACCAAAAATTTTAAGGGGAAGATCCGTAATAATACGAGATGTAGGAAAATTGTTTTGTAACACTTGTACAGGACTTTCATATTGTAACACCCGAGATGGCATTCGATTGATGAGGTGACAAGCAGTTAATAAAGCATTTCCCCAAAGATACTTAGGTACATTCATAGAAAACATAATAGCTCTAGTGACTTCGAGGAGATGTCTATTTTTTCTTTCAGCAATACCATTTTGCTGCGGAGTATCGCGACAAGTGGATTGATGAATTATCCCCTTAGTTACAAGGAATGTACTTAAATATTTGTTGAAATATTCAGTGCCATTGTCAGACCTTAGAATGCCAATCTTAGTTTGAAATTGATTGTTAATCATGTTAAAAAAATCTTGAAATCTTTGTTCAACTTCTGATTTTTTCTCCATGAGATAAACCCAACACAGCCGTGTATGATCATCAATAAATGTTACAAACCATTTTTTTCCAGACATAGTTTTAATTTTTGAAGGACCCCAAACATCACTGTGAATTAAGTAAAAAGGTTTAGAAGCAGAATAGGCTTTTGATTTAAAAGACACACGATGATCTTTAGCTAAGTGACAAGCTT